GTTGCGCAATATGGATCATTCTATAGGTTTATGTAATGGGACACGGTTGGTTGTGACAAAACTATCCGCTCATGTTCTTGAGTGTAAGATACTGTCTGGGGATCACGAAGGCGAGAAGGTCTTGATTTCTAGAATAGCTATTACTCCTTCCGATGTCAGAATTCCTTTCAAATTTCAGAGGCGACAATTTCCTCTTATGGTTTCTTATGCCATGACTATCAACAAGAGCCAAGGACAGTCGTTATCGCATGTTGGTTTATTTCTTAAGAAGCCGGTGTTCAGCCATGGTCAATTATATGTTGCCGCCTCCCGCATCAGAAATCAAAGTGAATTGAAAATATTAGTCTGTAATGATGATGGCGTGTCGCCAAATCAGACCCAAAACGTAGTGTACAAAGAAGTGTTTACTAATTTATGAAGTTTTGAATTTATTTTTCTCTATTTTACATTTGTTACATAACTACAAAGTGCATTAAATTTAATGTCCCATGAATTGTTTAATTTAATGTCTCGACGCCAAATCAAAAGAAAAACGATGTGTAAAAATAAGTTTTCAATAATTTATATATTTATAAACGTATGCTCCCAACGTGTTTACTTTTGTTACAAATATAACAAGTTCACTAAATTTAATCATTAATATTTATATAAGTTCAGAAAAATATACCATTCCGTGCATCGCACGGGTCAGTACTAGTTCATTTATTAAAAATAGAAGTAAAAAATTTTGAGAGAATTTAATGTATATTTTTTTAGAAACTTTTTAAATATATGCATTAATTGCTTCCATGTACACGTTTTCAAATAAGATCAAATCAGATATGATCAAATATATTGTTTTCTTAAAAAATTTTATTAATATCTGTAATAATTTCATTGACATCCATTATAATAAATTTTAAGATTGATTTTCTGTGATTCATGTTGATAATATTTTGGTCAAGATAAATATGACAACATATTTTAAGTTCTAATCATGATATTATTTGTATTTTCCCAAATATTCAGTTTTTATTTAACAATATTTATATAACATCGTAACAGGTTAGGTAGAATTTTTTTCTTCTAATTAATTAGGCAAAATCAAGTTGGTGATAATCTTTGCCAATATAATTTTTTCTCAAGTTTATTTCGTTATATATAAAAAATAAATTATTCGTCAAATTAATATAATTTACCATTTAAGAGATAATGACCAGATACATTAAATAGTTTTACTAGGTGTCAAAAATTAAAATTAAAATATATTTCCTGTTCTAGAATTTATTTGTATATTATTGGTAACAATGATTGTTTTTTTAATCTTGATTTCTATCTATAATGAAATTCTTGTAAAATATATTTTTATTGCAGAGTATGCTAAATAAAATATAAATCCTTATAACGCAAATTAGAAAAATTTTGATTATAGATGGGATTGAGTTTTTGGCATTTGCTAAATCAAAATTGTTTAATTAGTATACAAAATTAAATTTTAAAAAACATGTGTTTATGTTTTGTAAAATATTTATACACTATTTAATTTTAAATTTATTTACGTATTTTAAATTTATTACATAAATAAATAATATTAACGTGCATTAAATATTTTTTATTACATAAAAAAAAAGAAGACGTACAACTTCTATAAATTTTATAAATAACAATGACATATATTCCAACAAAGTTTATAATAAAATAATCTATATATATATATAATAAGAATTGCCATTTTTTAAAAATAGTAGGTCAAATGCAGGTCAAACTAAGTCAACATTAAATACTTACCAACTTTGGTAAGTTTTTGAACTTTTTTTTATTAAAAAAATTGGAAAGTATTAATGTTTCCCTTAATTTGTGGGATTAGTTCATTTCATAAATTAATATTTGCGGCTTATTTTTTAAGACGAATGTTCGTCACCTGCGGTGAATTTGTTGTGACTTGCGAAGAGATCCGTGACTGTGAAGAAGCTTTTTGATAAGCATGTTTTTTTTGTTGTGGAAAATTGGATTTAATCAACCATTTGTTAGTTAGGGAATTAATTAATATTATTGTGTTCCTTCTGTTCAAACCCTTTTTTTATTTTGTTTTTTCAGTAAAACATTCATATACTTTATAAAGCAATAAGGTACTTACAAGCAATCATGATATTTAAAAATTGTGATAGACAATAATGAATTTGGGAATAATGTATCCCAACATGCTTCAATTCGCGTTCTTTAATATAAACAAATAAATTTATATTAGTTAATATTTATTGTTTTATTTATTAATTATTAAATGATTCAATATATCTAAAGTTATTAATTTAACTGTAGTTTATATTTATTAGACTAAAAAATAATCAAGAACTTGAAAGATAAAATCTACAATCCAATGGTTTAAAATTATAATAAATCTAATATATAAAAAGATTTAATTATTTTTAAAATAGTAACTTCTTCCCGAAAAAAAAAATCTTATTTACTATATCTGAAAATAAATTAATCAATATCAATACATAATATAAATAGGGTACATTTATTTGTGATATTTTATGGTCTTTTCTATGGGAAATAAATCAATCAATATATGATATAAAGTGACAAATTTTTTTGGTACTTAATGGATGTTCCTATGAAAAATGAATTAGTCAATATATAGTATAAAGTGAGAAAATTTATTTAGGTTATTTGATGACTGTCTTTTTTTTTTTGTAGAAAATTTGCTATAAAATTAATCAATATATGGTATACTTTTTCTCTGAAATGCGCACACAAATATATTAGTTTTTTGGTGTGGGTCTCATTTTTTATTTTATTTTTTTGGATGAAATTACCATAGTGAAATTACCGTAACTCCCACAAAATAATATGAACAAATATTTTTATATAATGTGCGTGTCTCGATTTTATTTTATAGAAAATGCTCGGGTCAATTTTTATTTGTATAATCAGTGAGTCTTGATTTGATTAATTTTTTGCTAGAACATTTTAATTAATTTTTTGTATGAAATGCACTGATCAATTTTTCAAACAAAAAAACTATGAAGCCACAATCAAAAGTAAATATTGATGAAGGTATGCTTATAGAATATTAACCATCTACCTGCTTTGAAACCAATATAGCATTATACTTTTAATAATAAAAAAAAAACATTCATTTTTATATGCAGCAACAAGAGATTAATGGAATATGCAATAGTTGGAAAGAAATCATCGACGAACATAAGAATTTAAAGCACAGAAAATAATGTAAGAACATGTTTCACATTATGTGCAAGAATAATGTAATTTAATCGTCGGAGTTATGGCAATAGAATGCTTTGCATTAACCTATCACACATGTTCTTAATTCACAAAATAATTAAATAGTTTTTTCCTTCACAGTATGTGTAGAACTCATAATAAATTGAGAGCTGAAATATACAGACGGTAAAAAAAATAAAAATATAACTTACTGCAATGTAAAAGTTAGAGATTGTCATATGTATGTTTTGAATAACAAGCCTTTTCGATAAAAGTTTGTATTGTAACATACGGTTTCTAATATTTTTTTCCAAATAATTTTACATGAATTAGAAAATGTTGAATATTTTTAAGGTTTTCTAAGGTTAATGTATTTTCCACTGATGGTTTCTTGCTCCATAACAATAAACAAGAGTCAAATTAAGTCAATATTTATAGCATTATGGTCTGTTCTTGGAGAAAGCGATGTTATGTCGCGGTCCTAAAAGTTTGAAGATTTTAAGTTGTGGTTTACCAAAATCAAATAAAGAATGGTGTGTACTGGAGGTGTTTATTTATATATAAATAACAATTTGTCTTATTCAAATACATGTATTTTACGTTCTGACCAATCATTTATATGTAAATAATAAATATATATATATATATATATATATATATTTGTCTTATTTATATATAATAACAATAAGTAAAACTGTATTTTCTCTTATATCAAGGGAATAAATATATATATTAAAATCAATTTTATATTAATATAAAAGTGTTAGTGAGATAATAATTAATTATTTTACAACATAGCCTAACATGCTCATATTGTTTCGGCTAAAGAAACAACGCTAATTAAAAGAGGTGGAAAATAGATTACAACCTTATTGTTCTTTAGATTTAACGTTGATTAAAAAAGGTGAAAAAATAGATGATAACCCTATAGCTTTTTAGACTTAAACGAACTGTGAAAATAACTCATTTAATATCTCTGTCTCGTGCATCGCATGGGGTACGTACTAGTGTATTTGAAAAGTTAATAACTTTTGTATTTTTTTTATCAGTTTTATATATATAATATATCAAATTAATTATATCTTGATGAACTTCAATTTAACATCCATATTGTATGTGTAAAAAAAATAAATTATATTTATCTTTATAACAATAATAAAATTGTTTTTTAATATTATTAGAAAAATAAAATTATTTATCAATTAATATATTTATATTTCAAGTAGTTATGTTATATAATTTATAAAAATTACTATAATATAACACATGTAAGTCGCACAAGTATCAAGTGTCATTCCAAAATAAATAATAGTATATTTTTTGTAAAAAAGTAAATAAAATATAAAATAATGTTTCTCATTAATTTAAAAATTTAAGAATAATTTTTTAACAAGGACCCGTGTAATACACGGGTGTTGTACTAGTCGGATTGAAATAAGAATTGAATAGTGATGCTAGGAAAATTTTAAAATTAGTTCCATAAGTATAGGGGGTTTCATTTTAAGTTCCATTGGCATAGTAAAAATAAGAAATAGGTCCAATATCTTTGAAATTTATCAAAATAAGGATTTTTGTTCATTTATTTTCCTTTTTTTCTTTTTTTTTTCTTTTTAGTTTGTGTTCGCTAATCATTACCGTTATCTGTAAGTGTACGGAGTAGCTATAGCAAACGGCGAGCAAAGTCGTATTCCACAGACGTCGTTGTTAAATTAATTAAATACTAAAATAATACCCATTAAATATGATCTAAACTAATTCAACACATAAGTGTCTTACAATAGTATTCTTAATTTAATACATACAAGTATTACATTGGTACTATTAATGGTAAAAGCAGTATGTATTAAACTTCCAATTAATGTAGTATCTTGAATAGTATAAGATTGTCAATATTGTAATATGATTAACAATATAAGATCCTATGCCATAATAAATTTAGCTAGCGTTTGTCCGAAGCTAGACTAACCACATTCCAATCCAAACTACGGCAAAGATGCCTATATAAATAAAACCAAAACCACGCCCCCACAAAAACACACACATTTGGAACCAAAGCAAATTACTACAACCTTCAAAATGGTGCTCTTTGCAGAAAAACTTGGATGCCACCATAAAAACTCCAAAACCGCGCTCGCCTCGTTGAATGATTTTCAATCCGAAATATCGAGTTTTCTCAAAGAAACCACGGTCAAGCTAGCGAAATCACCCAAGTCTCTTTCCATGCAATTTTTCCAAAATCTTTTCGAGCTCATAAATTTCGCTGACCAGGCTTTTGCTAAACTCACAACGAAAATCGACTACCCCATGAGCCAGTGGGGCGGGAAAGCCACCCACGAGTACCTAAATCACAGCTTAATCTTTCTCCAAATGCTTAATTCAATCAGCACCTTAATTTCCCATCTAAACCAGGCCAGAGTCTCCATTTCCCGTTCCCTCAGCCTGATCGAAAAAAACTCGATAAATATGGCAACTAAGTACTTGAAAAAAAGCCAGGGAACTAAAATTTCTAATCCTAGCAAGTGTACTTTCAGTGTGGAAGGCCTGTCGACTGGAGTTGAGAAGAAACCCGGTTGTGAAAAGAAAGAGCGCGTGGTTTTAGAAGCTTTGATTGTTGTAAAGAAGATCCGATTTTTTGCACTTGGGTTAGTGATGTCGCGTTTGTGTGAGGACAAGAAAATGTGCTGGGAAGTTGGGGTGTTTTCGGGTGATGAGCCGTTTAAAATGGTTTTGGACTTGGGTTTTCGAAAAGAGGTTGTTGCAGTTATGGAAATAGGGGGCCCAATGGATGAGGTGAACCGTGCGGTTGAGAGGGTTTGTGAGGGATTATTAATGTCTAATGGAAAAGTTGAATGTGAGGCAATGAAGGAATTGAAGGGAAGGTTAAAGGTGCTGGATAATTGTGTGGAGTTTGTGGAGAAAGAGGTGAATGGTTTGTTTTGTCAGGTTTTGGGTGTAAGGAGTAAGTTGTTGGACAATATTAGGATTATTGGGCAGGATCCTTGAAATAGTGTTTAGTTTGATTTGAAAAGGTGGTGTGAGTGCAAAAGCTATGTAAGTTTATTATTACTACTATTATTATTATTATTGTTATTTTTATTATTATTGGGGTAGTTGGATTGGTAATGTATGAGTGTAAAAGTTATGTGAATTACTTTATTCCTTTGTTTTAGATAACTGCCTTTTATGTCATTTGCTAGCTAAAATTTAGGAATTTCTTGTGTTGGTTTATATATGCAATGTTATACATTTGCCAAGCGATTGGTTGGGTAATGACTTCGTGAAAATATTAATAAATTTATTTATATTTATTTTATGCATGATTTATAAAATATATTATTTAACATGTGTAATACAAATATATGCAAATTATTGCATTCATAATTATTGTATGTGTTTAATACGATTAATAATTTATTATATAATCAATGCAAACTTCTTGCATAAAAATTAAAATCATTTATATTATTAAAGACAGATTTAAAAATTCTAAAGGAAAATCCTAGGTGTCGCTAGGCCTTTGAATGAACAAAACTGAGCTCGAGCTCAAGCCTTTAATGAGCCAAGCTCGGCTCGATTCGTCCAAGTTATTGAGCCATAAATCGAGCTCAAGCTGGCTTTGTTTATCATTTAATGAGTCGAGTTCGCAACCTGTCGATGGATCTCGTGTCTTAATGAATCCAACTACAGAAAATTATATAAAAATTCTCTTTTTCGAACCTTAACGAGTCTTATTAAGTAAAGTCCGACTCGTTAACGAAACGAGCTTTAAGCGAGATATTCGGCTCGGTTATCAAACGAGCTAAGAGGAACTCGAGTCTAGCTGAGTTCACGAGCGGCTCATTTCATTTAACAGCTCTAGGTATCGTCAAGACTACCTGGGCCGCCTAGCTAGCCTAAGCGTGAGTAACTTCACAAGTGCCTAGTCCGTCTAAGCACCTCTAATCGTACGAACATTTACAATAACTACCTAAGCACCTAGGAAAATTTTTTGAACGAAGGCTTATATGATAACACCTTTCTTCTAATGGCATGAAACATTGATTAAAAATGCTTTCCTCCAATATGATAATTGAGTCACCATTAGACAACACCTAATAGTGGCATTTTTTATATGTCCATTGAGCTATCAATGGAGCGCCACACTAGTTGGAAGATCTAATATAGGAATCTTTATCCTATTTTCTTAGTTCGACGAGGAAGTATGGGGATTAAGAAAGGGGGAAACAAAGAAGGCATAGATTGATAGCATATATGTTACAAATGACCAGAGTTAATTAACCATCTACAATCCTCTGTTTACCACCAATTTGGCATAAAACTCATGTTTTGGTGTAATTTGCAAACAGCAACCAATTTTCCCAATGTTCAGAGCCAACCTTTTTCTCTCATTTTCATTTATGTCCTTTGACAAATTAACCCCACCAACTATAACTGCCATAAAAAATCGTGTACAGAACTATTACTTCAGTCCATCAATGACAACAATGGTGCTTCAAGGCAGAAAAATAAAGGTGTGTACCGTGTTTGTTCTATTTGTTATCTCTGAATTGCATCATCAGGCAAAAGGATTGAAGTTGTATCGTCAAAATCGGTTGGCTCATTTATCTTTTTACAGACATAAATGAAATGAGAATCAGGATCTTCAATAACATAATCTGCAGGAAGTAAGCCTTCATCTGTGATTGGAACGGGCTCCATGAGTGACTTCAAAGAAGTTGACCCAGCTGGCCTTTTAAATCCAGGTATAGCTGCATACATAAAGTTGATAATATAACATCTTTTCATACTGGTAGGAATATATAGATGTTTAACACTCAAAAGTTTGAAGAATCATTGGCAACAATTTTGTCATGAAACTAGATAAAGATTTTAGCACATCAAAAGATAAAACAAATCTTGGTACATGTTCTTTGTTAGCCGGGGGAAGGTATTCAGCTATAGAGAAAACAAGGGTAGATATTTTTTGCACTTTCGAGTTTGCCCAGCATTCTAGTTTTTTCCATATTTGTGTTTTTATTGACACGAAGTCATAGGTCTGACTAATTGATCTGGCAACGGTCATTCTTGCAGAAAGAAAAACGAATTATATAAGATAATCTGGATGATTAAATATTCCAAAATACAACTGAAAATTTATGCTTAGATCACCAGCTCCCAAGACAAATCTAGAAACTCAAAAGACTACAACTACGTTATTTAACCCATGATGTTGGCACCAGAATAAATCAAGATTATTCCAAAAGGTCAGAAAGTCCCTTGTCTCTTATGTTCAAGCTCTTGTTTTTAATTGAAACCTTGAACAACAAACAAAAAGGTTACAGCAGTTATTGACAGCACAACTATAGTATTCTACTCTTAACTTATTTAACTGACACAAAACAAGAAAAAAATTATTGTAATGGTTCCAATAAATTTTGCAATCCATGTAAAAAGAAAAAAACAAAAGAAATAGAACAATAATGACCGATGTCAGACATTTGAATCGTAGGGACACATTATCAATCACAGCAGGGTACCTCAGTGCATCATTTTAAGGGTATAACGCAAACTGAAGCCTAAACCCCACAAACGGAACTAGAACTATCAGAACAGAAATCACTTACGCAAGATATACAGTTCAATTTTCCAGTTGTAAACATTTCGATTTATATGGGGCATCCGCGCAGAAGGATCGCCATATGTTATCTGCGGACAGTGAAAGCAGGAAAATCAATTTCGGACAGCAATCTGATACAGAAAACACAACAAACTAAAGACAATTTTTACCAACATATAAACTCCGCCAGGTTTAAGAAGCCTACAAGTGGAAAAAGGCAAAAAAGATAATTAATTTACTAAAATGACTAGGCACGAAAAGAAAAGGAAAAAATTAATCTAAAAACTACAACGAAATCCACAAAAATATAAAGTGTCAATAAATCCTATAACCTGCTTACTTCCCCCAACATTTGAGAAGCACTGGTTGGAGCATCGGTACCACACTTAACAGTCACATCAACAAATTAGAGAAGAGAAAAAAGAAGTTAGGCAATAGAATAAGCAAAGATAAATGGAGAAAGAAATATGAATATAATATACTGCTCACCATCACCGCGTCAAGGGTCCCTATTATGCAGATCAGCAAGTCATGCAGATATACAAGGCAAATATTTTGCAATAAAAAAAGAGGTACAACAACAACAACAACAACATAGCCTTTAGTCCCAAGCAAAAAGGGCTCGAAACAAAAGGAAGAGATTTTTTTTCTTAAAAAAGAAAAAAAGGTAATCAAATAAAAAATAAATGAAAAGGAAACCAACTTACCTTTATCAATGATGCTATCGAATGAATCATCTGGGAAGAAACTCATGTCCCTAACATCCATTTGCATATCTGGATAACTTTGTAAGGATATCTAAGACTAAGTATTCTAATAAAAATGTAAAATGAAATCAAAAGACACGTTTAAATCAATAAAAAGAGCGCATTAGATGTTGCCTGACAGAAACAGCACAAGATGAGCCCTTGAAAATTCTACAGCATAAATACTCATTTCCGCAAGGATACACTTCAATTGAGGTATGTGCTCATGTTTGTTTCTCATCATCTCAATTGCCACAGAGGATATGTCGATGTTCATTATATCTTCAAACCCGTCTTTAACCATGTCTTCCGAGATAGCTATCAAGTAAGTTACATAACACCATCTTAACAAAGTTATATAATGCAGACGTACTTTACATTGAAGATATGTGCAGACAACAAGAAGATTCATAAAATAATCGAGAAGCTATATCATTGACAAGAGTCACCCACCAAGTTGAAGACGTGCCTTTTGTAGATGCCATGCATAATGCAATGTAGGCATCACAAAAATTATTACCAAGATAGAGCAATCAAAATCACAGCCAAATACAAAACAAATATTAACAGAAAATGGAAGTGCAATAAGAAGGGGAAAACAGAAAATAAAAACATTAGTAACCAAAAAGCAAGTTGTTTCAAGAGTAAAAAAACATGGAAACCTAATCCTAGATGAGGCAACAAGTTTATATTTTCTTCTTTCTCATCCAAATAATTAAGTCCGATTCCCAAAATTACAGTAGAGAAAAGATAATCAATAATTGATGGAAAACAAAACACCAAATCTGTCGCTAAAATCCACACCCAGGAGATGAATTTCACAGCGTCAATTGTTTCAAACTACCAATGTTATAACTTGTTCCCCGTATCCCCATTAAAGCAAAGTAATGCAGCACAGAAACACGTTCATAAAACCGAAATTCCACACGAGTTCATTCAAGGAAAAGCAACCGTAGCTGATCAACTAGCACAAGGCATCAATCAGCTCACTTCCATATTTCCCACGGCAATAAACACAAATACGTGGCAAAAGCAATGAAATAATATCACGAGACCCAACAGAAACGCATCTTTTCTCAACTTATATGAATCCGAACTTTTTAAGAAAAAAAAGAAACTACAGCAAGGGATTTACCGGCATTTCCACAGCCAACCATGAGGACGCGAGAACTCGGAGAAATATACTTCCGAATAAATGGGCGGAGAGCCGAATAACGCTGGTACCAATCGAAATTCGCTTCTTGCTCGTAGCGGGTGTCCCAATAGAAGGCGTCCCCGTAGTTGTAGGTATTGCACGCCGACACGTCCCTGATCATGGTGGCGGCTGGCGTCGGCAAACGGCGGTTTGAAGGTAGGATTCTTTTGGAGTATGAGTGAAGTCGACTCTTTCTTGTACCGTAAGGGTATGTTTGGTTCGATGGGAAAGGGAGAGGAGGGGAGGGAAGGGGAGGGGAGCTTGTTTCAAAGAATTTTGTTAGAGAAGAGTTGACGGAAAATAATAAACTTTGTTTGGTTAAATAATGAAAGAGGAGAGAAAATAATGTTAGAATGACAAATATATCTATGTTAAAATGAAAATTAAAATATAATATATAATATGGATAAAATTGTAATTGAGTGGGTTAAAATTTTCCCTTCCTTCTAAATTCCCCCACTTTTGGAATGAAGCAAAAATGGAGAGGAAAGGGAATTCTAACTTAAAAATTTTTCTCCCCTCCTATCTAAATTTATGAACCAAACAAGAGAAAAGTAAAAAATCTCTCCCCTCCCCTCATTTTCTCCCGAACCAAACAATACCTAAGAGCATAGTTTTGTCTCTATGGAATGTAAATGAACTTAATTCTTGGATGACCCAGACAAAAATATATAAAATTATTATGTAAAATAAAGTTAGGCAAGGAGCAACAACATAAGGGTTTTTTTTCTAACTTTTTTAGAATGTAAGTATACATTTTTTAGCCAGTACTAATGAAAATTTACTGTATGTACCAATTAAAGCTATGGTGTGTAAATTTACAGTGTGGTCGCTATGGGTGTCGGCTAGCATTTTTAGAGGTTCGTAGCGGCCTACAGGCTAGTGAGGAGGGCGTCATTCTAGTTCGTAGTTTTTTTTTTCTTTTTTTTCCCCAGTTGGTAGTGTCTTTTGTGTTAGTTAGTAGTTTTATTCTCCTTTTCAGGAGCTTTTAGTTAGTAGTTTTATTCTCCTTTTCAGGAGCTTTTATTTTCCACATATGGGAGTTGGGTAGCCCCTTTTTTTCCGATGGGTGAACCTCTACGCTTTCCAGGCCGACTTGGACGAGTCGCGGCTAGGGCCTTTTTCCCTGCCCCTTCCAGGGCCTTACGGGAACTCGGCCGACAATGGGTCATGCCGCCCCGCCTATCCTCCTGGCTTTGGAGGGGGTCGCTGGCCAACCGTTCTAGCCCAGCTGCTAGAGCCCACCATTTTGCTGGTATTTATGGTCTCACGAGCTTCATGTAAACACCTTGGAGGCGCGTGTCTGGTCAGCTCCTCACCATGGTGGTCCGTGGTTGGGCAGCTCCTCGAGGGTTTTTTGACCGGTAGTACGCCGGTCTGCCGGGCTGGCCACACGCTGCAAGCAACGAGGTGCCTCCTTGGATCTTTGTCTCGATCCATCCGTCGATTTCTTGGCAACTCCCTTTCTTCTCCCCGACGCCAAAGCTGAGTCCAATTTTGGTCCAAAATTTCATCTACGCGATTTGAGTATCCGCATTTTTAGGATTTGGAGTCTAGTTATGTTGTTTTTTTGGGGTTCTTAGCTGTGGGTGCTACTCGGTTGTCAGTCTAGATTAGGTGTGTGTTTTTAGTCCTTCTATATCAGATGTCTAGTATCCTCTATGGAGTTCTTGTCTCCTTTATGGAGTTGTATTTTGCGGGTGTTTTTGTCTCCTATGGACACATGTGGTCCCAAGGGAGTTAGGTCCATGTTTTTTAGTTCCATTAGTGTCAATTGACACCCCGTTTGTACTTTTTTTAGTTTTTTACTTATTAATATAGTTGTCGAAAAAAAATGGGCAATGTTGTAGTTGTTGGTGAGTTGTATCGTTTCTAGGCTATCCTTTTGTAGTCCTCTCAATAAATTCAATTGTCTAGCTGCATGAGTCAGTTGTACTGTTGTTATCTGATTGTAAATATATGTTTTTATCTATAAATTCTATTGTCTCCAAAAAAAAAAAAATATCAAACAAAAAGGTCTTCCACACACCATTTTTATGCCAAAAAATTGAGCCTAATAGAAAAGAGATCAAATAAGAAACACAAACGGAATAAGGAGGAAAAAGAAAATGTAAAGGGAAATAAAGAGGTTAGGGATGTTGGATATAAAAATTTTTGGATTTGTATTGATTTTTTGGTTTGTTTTGTATAATTTTGATTAAGGTGATATAGTTAGTTGCTAGTGAGTATATTAAAATGATATTTAAAATAAATAATTAAAGTTGATTTGATGTAGAAATAAGAGATACATGATTTGAAGAAATGGTTAGTTAAAATTATGCGAGTGGATAAAATAGTGAATTAAAGTTGACGTGGCGCATAAGAATGATGAATTGATATTATTTAATTATATTGATAATATTGATGAAAGTGTGATTGAGGTAAAATTGAGTTAAAAAAAAAAGTATGTTTGGATTTTTTTAGAAGTTTTGCATCTAAACATCCTTGCTGCAACTTAACATAACGAAAATTGTTAATAATTAATTGGTCTTTCAAGCCAAGTGGTTTATAGTAATTTTTCTGGTATCTATTGTTTATCAATTCAACTAAAAAAAAAATCAATTAAAACTCAAATTTAACTCAATCCTCATATATTCAATATTATCAATATAATTAAATAATATCAACCAATTATTCTTACAAATTAAATCAATTTTAATTCACTATTCATCTCCTCCCATAATTTTAACTAACTATCACTTCCAATTATTTTTTTTTCTATTTTATGTCAAATCAACTTTAATAATTTTATTTAAATATTATTTTAATATATCCACTGACAACTAACTATACCATTATTTTTTAAATTTAATTATAATTAAAAATCAAATTAAATAAAAACTAGTTCAATGACCAATAAAGAAAACAGATTTTGAAGCAACCCACACAGCTACTTCTCTCCACCTTACTCAAGTCCAGTATTATGGACTGAAAATATCTCCGTTTATTATTGAAAAATGACAATTTTCCTCACCTATTCTCGCCCTTGGAACTACCATTGATGACACCTGGTTTTCTATTCACAGGTGTAAACTCTGCCCAAATCATTTTTCCGTCATATTTTCTTGCTTCGCACTTAAATAGTAATCTGATCTATCTCTGGGTTTTTTTTTTATAATTTTCTTTGTTATTTTTCTCTTCGAGAGATCAGCTGATTGCTTTGTGGGTATGTCATCATTTAGAAGAAATTGNGATTGTTGTTGGTGTCTGTCTTGGGTTATGTATGCGAAATTGCCAAAAAATGAGGCAAGGTTTTAGACAGTTACATCAGTGGGTGGCTATTTTGAATTCTCAAGGTTAATTAATGTAAACACTAACTTACAATTCCCCATTTTTTTAGCTATTTCTTTGATCAAAGCTGTTCAATTTCTTGTATATGAAGTGTTCTTTATTATGCCCCAATGACAGAAAAAGTATAGCATGAGCAGGCAAAAATGGTAATTAAATTCGATAAATGAATAGATTCTATATTGTGTCTCAATGAATGTATAGATATCATGAGTTGAAGGTTTTACGAGGAACAAAAACTTCATCATGCCTAAATGGAAATCTCAATAGTTTTGGCTGTTATCAACTGGGGAGTTTCTAATTACTGTTATCATTTTCATTTTATATTCGTTATTTTTTTCGCTCATTTCAGATAGCCCCTCCCATAAGGATGGAAATCATTTCTTGCCATGCTGCACCATATTGTTACGCCGTGAACTTTAGAGATGTAAACTACTTTAATTCCCAGCAATCCAAACTTCCCGTATTAAATGGAAAAAGTTTGTTCTGTTCAGTGATCAAATCATTTTCCCCATCTTCAAAATGCTTTCATCCACGAAATATGAACACATTTTGCTGTCTAGACTCTCACGAGCATGTAGGCTCAAGTACTATTACAACCGACACTTTTAACACGTACGTGCTTGATGGTGAAAAGAGTGTAAATTCTTCGCATATACCTAAAATACCGATTCCCGGTTTACCAGATGAAGACAATGTGGGTCCCATTACCAGAACACTTTTAACACTTTTATGTTGTCTTGGAAATTTTCTGGGTCTATTGGTGAATATTACAAACCTCGGGGTGGTTTTAGAATTTGTCCAGTTCTTTTATTTCAGAGGTCAGGAATGTAGTCTTTTTTGTCCTGAAAGGACCTATCAACTGAGGTACTTTAGACCTCATGTCTATATATTTCTCGGTACACTTCTGGTCTACATAATTGTAAGTTGTGACCTTCTGACTGTAGTTTCTTTTATGTTTTGCCATTATTAGATGATAGAAAATTAGTGATCCAAGAAGTATAGCCGAGATACTGAAGCAAGTGTATGTCGATCACTCGACAAGAGTCGTTGAGGTGTTTTCTCGTATTATCGAGACAGCGAGACACCCAGCAGCAGCTGCATCATTTGCTTCCATCATATTTGCTCCTCAGGGACAGTTATCATTTGACGAAACCTTAACTAGGTTGGTGCTGTTAATTTATCGAATTTCGCAACAACACTAAGGGGGTGATTGTTTATCAATTCATCTAGAAATTAATTGGTTTTTTTTAACTATAGTTACTTTGAGAAAAAGTTAGTATGGTTAGTTGTTAGTGGATATATTAAAATAATATTTAAAATAAAATAATTAAAGTTGATATGATGTAAAAGTAAGAGAAAATGATTGGAAGTAGTGGTTAGTTAAAATTGTGTGAGTGGATGAATAGTGAATTAAAATTGATGTGATGTGTAAGAATGATTGGTTGATATTAATTAATTATATTGGTAATAATGGAGATAGTGGAGTTAGGTTAAAGTTGAGTTAAATTTGAGTTTTGATTGGTTTTTTTTAAATTGGGTTGATAAACAATCACACCCTAAACATTTCATAAAAAAATTATTTTATTTCTCTTTACCTGTCAAAATATTGTTTGATAGGTGTAAAACGAACATAACACCCGTTTGTCTCATGTAGCCAGTATGGGGTTTTCAAGTCAAATGGAAAGTTCCGGAAGCTCCATATTATGAGATAAGTCCGGCTGGTCATTGCCCATGATGAGGTTCCTGAGGTAATTGGCAATGCTACATAGTAATTAGTACATGCTGATGAAATAAAAATTATGTTCAATTGTTTGTGTGAAGGTTCATATGCAAGAATCTGGCTCTTAATTGAGCCATGGTTAAGAATAAAGGAATACATGATAATTATCGATGATTTTTGACCTAAATGTTAAAAACGACCCAGTTATTTGTGAAAATTACAGATATCCTAGAACAATATGTAATCAAATGCCCATGAAATCAATTATTTTTATTATTTTTTTATTTCTTCTTTGAAGGTTGTGAATTTTCTTCTGCGTGGTTGGATTCGAAATCTGGAAACAAGTGGTTCTTATCGTGCTGCCATTGCTCGACAACCCAGAAAATGTCGATTTTAATGTGATTCAGTAGAAAAGGGTGCAGAAAGTCAGTGAGGGTGCAATATCATGGCTCCAAGTTCTCTATCTGGAATTGGCTAACCTCTCATTTCAAACCTCTTTTCAAAGAGAGAACTCTGTGAACCACATTTTGGTAGATTTTGTTACTCATGTACATTTATGTAGTTTGTATTTTTA